CCGCATCTTGCACTAAAGAAGGCACTAATAACAATCGATTTGTGCGAGCCGAAGCTCGAAAGCGATAAACGGGTTCACACACTATTTGCGTGCAGAAAGTCTCCTATATGAATAGCAAGGGTTAGGGCTAAAAGCCCGCACATAGAACTTGGGCGAACCTTCGACTCCCGTTGCAAATTTTTCTCTATCACAGCGTTTGATTGGCTAAAAACCTAAAACAATACCAGGAATCACCAAAGGTGATTGGACGACGGAAATAGTGTTAAGTGAAGCTCCGATACGAACGCCGATACCAGCGGGTGCAACAAGGAGCGAGCTCCGGCAATCGGGGCTGTGTAGGAAGCATGCTAGGCGACACCAACGTCACACAATGCAGGACATATATTCAATTTACGCCTAGATAGGCCCGGGCTTCCTCGAGCGCTTGGATCTGCTGCGCGCGTGACAGCAAGGCCCACCGTTCTTCGCAAGACTCGAGGTCCGACTGCCCACCCTTCCTGGTGATGATGACGTGGGCGCACGACGCATCACACGTGCGGCGATCACACGTGCGGCGATGCTTCTTGTGCAGGGCGCGTAGGTGTCTTGCGTAAAAACCGACTTCGCATGCGTCGGCAAGCTTGGAAGGGTCCCGCGGGTGATGGTCGGTTGGCTTCTTGCAGCTCGGGCACTGCCGCTGTCGGCGCGCGCGCTTTGCCCGCTCGTCTGCTGGAGGCTTTGGCGATGGCGCGGCAACTTCAACTTCGCGCGTCGTTGCACGGTTGACAGCGATGGGCTTCACGAGCTGGATGGGAGCCACATCACAAAGCCCCGTAGGCGACGAGTGTTGAGCCAGTGGGCGCTGGGCGCTCTGCAGAGCTGCAGTAGTAATGGCCGCTGGTTGAGAGTTGACGGACGACGAGAAGCCTTTGCGTGTCTCTCTCATTTCGTCCAGACCTTCACGAGTGCCGCCGTGAGCTGCGGCGACCTCGATGGCAGCGAGGAAGGCCTTGCAAGCCGCCTTGATGTGCTTGGCGTCCTTGTAGCGGATCGTATCGATGAAATAGATCTTTTCGTTGTACCGAACGTAGTTCTGGCCCGCCGAGATAGCATAGAGCAGAAGAGAGTTCCACTCCATGGCCATCTTGCTCGTCTTCGCGTGCTCGATCTTGTGCTCCATGGACTTGTCAGTCTTTGGGTAGAACCCCGGGAGCATGGCCTTGAAGAGCTCGTCCTCGATGCCGTCCGCGACAAAGGTAGGTAGCTCGTGAAGGCTCATGCGACGCGCGAGCCACTTTGCACTGGCTGACATCTTGATCTTAGCCGCTCTTGCAACAAAGCCTGGAGTCTCGAGCAGGTCCTTGATCGAGCTTGGCGTAACATTCGCGCCCATTTTGCGGATGTGGGCCTCGACGGCGAGCCCCGTCTCCGATGTGCGCAGCGGCCGCGCCAGACCGAAGAGCTCCTTCTCCAGCGACGGTGTCTCGCCACTCGGCCAATGAGGCTCGATTGTGGTGTAGCCCGAAAAGCACGCAGGTACCGCAAGGCCAAGCTCGGTGCTGAGCGAGATGATGTTGGTAACGAGCGCGAGGTCGACGCTGCAGACAAAAACCTCGCGCTTGGCCAAATGCCGGCTCTTGTGCATGTTCCAGCGGCTGATGCGATCCAAGAGGAGGATGTGGAGCAGCTCGTAGGACCCGTTAAACCCGTGGAAGCAAGCTTGGAGGAACTTGTGCAAGGACTCGAGCTGCGAGGACGACCGGAACGTCACGTAGTGGGGGTCTCCGTCGGGGTTGATGTTGGCATGCATGGTTTCGTTGGGCGGGTCCGTCAGCTTGCCTTGCTCGAGCTGCTTGAGAATGGCCAAGTGCAGCTTCTCAAAGCCACTCTTGAACAAGTCTTTCCCTCGGTACTGTTGCACAGCAGCCTCGAGTCGTTCCGCTATCGCCGCGCGTGCATCGTCGGGTACATAGGTACGCACGGAGCGGTGCGACCGGAAGAACGCCGGCGTAAGCTTGTCGACGTCAACGCCCTTGTCACGGAGTTTTGCCGTGAGGGCGTCAACGTCGTCTTGATCGAGCGAGAAGAACGCGTTGGCGACGTTCGCCATGAACAAAGATCGGAGCGGCATGCTCGAGCACTCACGAAAGTACTCTTGCAGCACGTGGAAGAGGTCGCGCCTGACGGCGGCCTCCGGGAATTTGTCCAAGAGGAAAGCCTCGTCTGAGTCGGGGTTGTCGATCCAAATCCCCTTGATATCGCCGAGCCGCGCCTTGAGCATCTCGATCTCCTTCTCGATCTCTTTCAGGCTCTTCGACCGCGTGACCCAGAACCCGACGACCTCGCTGAGCTGGTTCATCATGGTAAAGACCGCTGTAAAGCCCTGCTTGCCGTCAGCGTCTCGCCCGTGCTTCGCAACGAAAAACGTATGGTCGCCGCACAGGTGCTCCGCCGTCGTCGCTGCTATGGCCGCTTGCTGCAGCGCCTCCAAGCGACGCATTTCGCCGCAGTAGATGTCGCGCACTAGGCCTGGACCAACGAGCGGGAAGCGCAAGCAGTGGCCAAACGAAGGAAAGGCGACGATCGGGTTGGAGTTGGTAAAAAGACCCGGAGACCTGAGCCACTGGTAATGTACAGCAGGTAGCAGAGCTGCGCGTGCGCATAATGCTCAACCAACGTAGCCTTCTGCAGCGACGCAATCTGGGCGAAGCTGGCGCCGCTCACCTTCGATTCATGCACTTGGCGCGCAAACGCCGTCGAGATGACCGTCTTCTGACGTATCTGGAACGGATACAGGCGCTCACGCACCACAGGCGGCAACGCAGCAATAAGATGCGAGTTGAGGGCCGAGAACGACGTATGCTTTCGGCCACGAGCGGCGGCAGACGAGCAGTCGCGGTGCATGTAACGACGTGCCTTGATAAGCATGTTACAGTCGAGGTCGACAACCGGGCGAAAGCTCTCGCTCCATCCATGCATCGAGATGCGGTTGCTACCACATGACGGGCACTGGATCGGGTGCGCGGCCAAATACGCCGCCGCAAAGGTCATCGGGCAAACAACGACGATCGAGCTCCGAGAAAGAAGAAAGTCCGCGGGCGATGCATTCGAGCTCATGGGCACAGATGGAAACGGAAATACATTACTCGACAGCGCTTGGTGCTGGCCTGTGGCTACGGCGTGCTGCGAGCGAGGCAGCTTCGTCGCTTTGATCTTGGTCCAGAACACGTTCATTGCCGCGAGGCACATGTGGTCGAGCGGCTTGCTCGGTAGCGTCGTGGTATCGTTTAGGTCGCCATCTCCTTCTGCCTCGGCAGCGCCTTCGGGTCCGAGATCGTGTTCAGCGCCTTCGGGTCCGAGATCGTGTTCAGCGCCTTCGGGTCCGAGATCGTGTTCAGCGCCATCGGAAACAACGACGTCGTCGTCAACGTCCTGTACGTCACCCTCATCGATTTGGTCGACGTCAGTGGGTCGGTTTGCGTCGCTTGTCACGCGCCGAACCAATGCGACCGGGGTGAATCGAAGCCTGTTGCGCGGAGCGTAGATGCAGTGCGCCGTGTGCTGGGGGCCGATTTTGCAAGCACAGCACACTTGCCTGCCATTCGGCAAGGTGATACGCGTCGACGGGTCCGGGCGGTTTGGACGGATCTGCCGGCGCCGATGTGTTGGCTTGGTGGGCGCGGGCGAGGTGGGCGCGGTCGGCGCTGTCGAGGTCGGCGCTGTCGAGGTCGGCGCTGTCGAGGTCGGTGTGGTCGAGGTCGGCGCTGTCGAGGTGGGCGCGGGCG